TGAATCTTTTTAGGTTATTATGGCCGCGTCACAAAAATGCATGCTTGAACAAACTAAAATAAAAATCAAATGAAATTTACCGCATCCCGCACATGCACCCAGTACATGTGGTTAACCTCTACCAAGCCTGAACCAGGATGCAAGAGGACGCCTGGAATCCTCAGAAAAGCAGAAAATTCATCGAAATAATTTCTGAGCTGCTGAATCTTTCGTCGGACTTGGGCAATAGTATACTCCCTCTTCAATACATAACTCAGCACTTGGTTCAGTAATCTTGAAATTTCTGCCCACAAGGAATTGAACACAGGGCCTTGGTGTATGTCTGCCTTCTCACGACACTTTTTGAAAAAAATCGGTGGCAAATATCTTCCTCTTCCTCTGTCCAGTCCACGCCACAGAAGCGGATCGCGATCTTTTCATAGAGTGAAATCATTTCCATTTTTCTTTTCGCAAACGTGCGCCTCCTTGGTTTTTTTTTTTTTTTTTGGCTGCGATCGAAAGCTAGGTTTTTGAGAAGTGAAAGGTTAATTATTCAACAAAGAAAATGAAAGTTTAACATTTACAGATAGCATTTAAAGGTAGGTAGATATACATCAACTCGACAACTAAATGAGGAAGTGTGCAAATCGTCACAGTTTTTTACGTGTAAAAGCAGACTATCAATCAATGCGGTGCGTAACCTATGCGAATAATATGCGAAGCACTTTCGATTTGGATATGCGGTGCAGACAATCAATCAATGCGGTCCATATGGTATGCGAAAAAATGGCGGATGGTCGTAAATTATGTGGCTTTAGATTTGGATATACGATTCGTTAATTATGCGGTTGAAGACTAGGCGAATGAACCTGCGAATCAACCCAGTTGTGCGATTATTATGAGACATGATATGGGAATCGCACAATCAACCCAATTGTGCAATTATTATGGGACATTTTATGCGAATCGCGCAATCAACCCAGTTTTAGTACTTTCTGTTAGTCAATCGTGTGTGTGCAGGTCACAACTTATAGGGTACCAACACAGTATTTTTCCCGTTAAAAGTATTTTTTCCGTTAAATTGCTATACAATTAAAAACTCCAATGAGGTACATAACATTACATAACATCTCCATCTTCATCTAAATTGTCGTGGAATGGACGTGATGGACAAGATGACGATTTGTGACCTGTTTCTTTACAAGTAAGACATCTCCTCGGGCGTCTCAATGTTGTTCTTGGATGAGGAGTTGGTGCGTTTTGACCTTCTTCATTTGAAAAAAAGTCATTATCACCATCGTATAGAGGGCACTTCGCTTTGTTATGCCCGGTGACCCCGCACCGAGAGCACCGTACTCAACGTGATGATCCTTCTCTAGCGGAATAACGTTGAGTCCGTGACCGACCTGCTTGTTTGGGATCATTTGGTTGAATTACCTTTCTACGCATAATTTCCGGGGGCAAGTGCCATTCATCTGGATGCGGGACCGGGTTAATGGTGCTTTGGTACATCTTTGCAACTGAGTAAGTTTTGTAATGGTCGTTAACGAAATCCATTATATCTAACATGGCTTCCTTGTATACATATCATAAATTTGCACATTATATTAGAATATACAATTTTTTTTTAAAAGGAAAAAACGATAATGTTGTTTGGTTAACATTACCGAATGGTCGTAGATGCATGTTAGCAAGGTAGTAGATCTGTTTCAAACACACGACACTCACATGTTCTTTCCCCTTAAATCTACCACGTAGGATCGTGTTTCTTCCATAACCTTATAACGTTGCATGCCGAGTTTGGTAATGGATAGAGTACGACCTTTCTCGAACAAAGGATCCAGCCGCAATTTAGTCCACTGGGTTAGCGGATGATTGCGACCCACGGCGGATGCACACCGAACAACAAACTATTTCTCGATCGTTGCCCGAACACACTCCAACAACGAGCAAACGGGTAACATCCTGGCCCATAGGAGTTTGTTGTTCAAACTTTCACTGGAATTGGATGTCATGAATCCATAGCGCCGTACAGGTGTAGGTGTAAAACACCTCGCCCAAGCCATTACCAGAATTTTATTAGTTAGCTTTCTAAATGCTTCGAGTTTTTGGCTTCGAATGGCTGACAAGTAATGAAAGAAGTCTTCACGCTGATAACAATATGTCGCCTTGTAAAGTATGTCCAAGACCTGCTTCCCAAAAGGCCTCATTTGTTTTGTGATGTGATAATAGCAAAATGAATGATGCGCCTCGGGGAACACTATTGGGACAGAATGTATGATAGACTCATGTCTATCCGATACGATGAGGAGGTTCTTAGGACAACCATAGGCCCTTCTCAAATGAGTCAAAAACTAACTCCAAGTCTCACGACGCTCTAGATCACCAATGCCGCTTGCGAGGGGAAAGATTTGGTGATTCCCGTCCAATGTGGCTGCAACAAACATAATGCCCTTGTATTTTCCCTTCAAGTGCGTACCATCTATCACAATCACCGGGACACCAGCTCGTTGAAATACCTCGCCATCCCGTTGTAGTTCGTCAATTGTACCTGGATTACGAACCCGCAACATGTGCAAGTAACCGGGAAGCCGCCCCCATGATTCTTCATGACCCTCATAAACTTTTTCAAAAGCATGGTGTCTTGCTCGGAGGGACACATTGTAGCTGATCGACAAACCATGCTCCTCCCGCATTTGCTCAATAATTCTCCGTGTACATACCGTCTGGGGATTTGTCTGAATAGTTGGTGCAAACACATGAGCGAGAACCTTGGAACTAGCCGAACACTGTCGATTGTGCGTCAAACTCCTTTCGCATGTATGCTCAAGTTTCAAAGTAGTGATTCTCCATAGATTTCCATTTGCCCTTGCACATAACTTGTAAGAACACCCTTCATACCGACAGATAGAGGTTATCCTAGAAGTGCAGGATTGGGTGTTCGACACTCAACTTTTTGTTGCAAGTGATAAAGTTGGATGACACAAATCAACTCATCTTTCTAAAGAAAGACAGACCCCAAAGATAATTCTAAATTGTTCGAGGGTAAGTGGATGGGTTGTCTATCTGATCCAGTTGTCGTGAGCGGCATAGGAAGGGACCACATTCGTTGCTCAACGTATGATTGCCGTGTGCTACCTGGATTCATATATGCAAGACTTTCAGCCTCAATATGGTCGGTAATTAATCTTAGCTCTTCAATGTGCTCGCAATACCACGCCCTGAAAAGCTTGAACATTTTCTTCTCATTGACCTCTTTGTCTTCGTTGCCTGAATCATCATTGTGCGTGTTGGTTTGGTCATCATTATTTTCATCGTCACGAGAATGACCTAGTTGGTTCAAACAACCCGCCGTTTGATCATCAGCGCCCCGAGGATATCCAGTATGTGTAAATGAACTAGGGCCTGCTTGATATGAATATGGGGCCTCGTGGGAAAATGCAGAACTACCAACACCAAAAGAACTAGGAATCCCTACATTTACTCGCTTCTCCAACTCCAGGTAAAGGTTGGGATTTTCTTGTTCTTCAATCAGCTCTAAAATATCGTCACTGGATTCGATTTTCATCTTAACAGGTCGTTCCCCTCCATCAAATACGGCCCACAATATGTACTCAAAATTACAAGGATTGGCCTTTAATAATGCTTGAGCACGAGAAACTACTTCAGAATACATTTGTCGGCCGTAATTTATTCTCATCAGCTCTGCCACTCTACCAAGATATGAACCCCCGGAAAACGAACCACCATAGTGCAGGAATACTTTAACACGGTTGCTAGCCATTCAAATAAGTGAACAACAAAAAGAATTAAAACGAAAGAAACAGAAAAATGCAGTAGATGAATGGTGCAGAGTGCAGACGTTAAATTGTTAGAGATCGCTGTTTTTTTGCCTGCATGATAATTAAATGCAGAGACAAAATCCTCACCTGTGAAAAAGCGGTCAATTTAATGAGGTGGGTAACTTATGCGATAGATATGCGAACAAATTTCGAATAGTCGTAAAATTGCAAGGTCGATATCGCCCTGTGAAAATATGGCGCATAATCGTCAAATAAATTATGCTTTATTCGATTTGGTTATGCGATTCTTAAATATGCGAGCGAAAAAATGTCGCATAATTGTCAATTATCCGGCGTTATACTGGATATATGCGAAAGTTTTTCGCATATTAGTAAATTATGCGATTGACTTGAATATACAATTACTAAAAAATGCAAAGTCAACAAATTATGCGAATTATATGCGAAAAAGTTTCGCATAGTCATAAATTTGCAAGGTCGTATAGCCCTGCAAAAAGAAGGCGCATAATCATCGTAAATTATGCTGCATTCGATTTGGATATGCGATTCTTAAAAATACGAAAAATTTTCGCATATTTGTAATGATGCGTTTGATTTGGATATGCGATCCCTAAACATGCGAAATGGTTTCACATAGTCATAAATTATGCGTCTGGTTGGATATGCGCTGGTTCATTTGGACATGCGAGTGTAATATCACATAGCATTTCGTGACTTTTGGGGTGTAAAAGAAGTTATTTGACGGGTCAGTGTATAAAAGAAAGAATATAAATATAACGGGGTGAAAAAGATTTTCATCCTTTATTTTATTAAGAATAAAATATAAAAATAGTATTTAATGAGTGAGTAATGAGTTCCATATATATTTAAATGAATAAAACAATGTAAGTGTGTGTTTAGTATATAGAGATATGTAGTAAGAAAATGATGCAGACATAATGTGAATGAAAGCTAGTGTAAATTATGTTTGAATGAATGGTAGAGTAACAAAAATTCTATAGAGCAATCGGATGGTTTTCTTATGAAGCCATCCACCACTTAATGTATTGACACATGTCCAAAGTATATTTATTGCAGGACACGTGTCAATACACTATTGGTGAATAAGTGTGGATGGTTTCATAAGCCGAGCCATCCGATGGCTCCATAGCAAAACTGGGTAGAGTAATGAGTGTAGATGCCTTTACAAGTGGCTTATATCAAATCCCGTCGATGCTAGTAAATCAAGCCTAACGCAAACGAGGCCCTCAAAGGACTATTCTAGGTAGCAGCTGCTATTTCCCGGAGCGCAATAAAATTGTCTCCAGAGCAATACTATCCGTACCTATCAACCAACACGACACCGAAGAACTATGCAAATCCTACATATCCCATGCTTGGAAGATAACTATTCCTACATGTAATCTGATTGAGAAAAGCTTAAACCGTTTTGTCTTCTTCCCCCAATTATACGTGTTATTTTTCAGTTGTCAATTCGAATATTTAACTGAAAATATTCGTGTTGCTTTACAGGATTATCGATGAGGCTACCAAAGAAGCAGCAGTGGTGGATCCCGTTGAGCCTCACAAGATTCTTCGGGTTGCCCAAGAAAACGGGGTTGAACTTAAGCTTGTTCTCACCACTCACCATCACTGGTAATTTCGCTTCTTCTTTTTATTTTTGTCGTATTTTTTCGCCTGAGCTATGATTTTCTAGATTATATACTGGGTTAGTGGTTTTATTTGCTTATTCAGTTAGTGTGTGCGTGCGCGCGCATTTTGTAATCCAGCATTTCTGAATTGTATCACTATTTACTGATGCTTGTGCAATTAATTTTTAGTTCAATTGTCCCTTTTTTTCCAAAAAAAATCTGATATGGGGTTTCCTTGTGTAATTCTAGTTCTCTCGTATGTGTTAAGTTGGGTTATTGTTGAATGCTCTGAAGATCTGCAAAGATGGTTGTAAGTTTTTATACGTTCTTAGTCATAATTTTGTGCTAAAATATACATTTGATGTTATGCTGTTGGAGTAATGGGGTTCTCTTGCATTATGATCAATTATATGAATAAAATGAGAAATGTTGGACCATTGTATATTTCTTATTGAGAATGTCTCTTTTGTATGGTAGGGATCATGCTGGTGGCAATGAGAAGATGAAACAGTTACTGCCCAGCATTAAAATTTTGGGTGGGTCTCTTGATAATGTAAAGGCGTGCACTCAGAAAGTTGAAAATGGTGATAAATTATTCCTTGGGGCTGATACCAATATATTGTGTCTGTATACACCATGGTATGCGCGTAAAGTGCCTGTTTTGTTGCTTTCAGATTTTTGCAATATAGGTACTGTGTATGTTTATTTCATTCATCGTTTGCAATTTAGGTACCATTTAATTTATTTGATTCGTTATAATTTCATCTCATCATTTTGTATGTCTAGTGATTAAGTTTCCATGTTTTCTGGTTTCAGTCATACAAAGGGTCATATAAGTTACTATGTCACAGCCAAGGAAGGAGATGATCCTGCCGTCTTTACTGGCGACACACTGGTGGGCCATGATCATGTTCATGTTTCAGATTATTATTATTATTATTATTATTATTATTATTATTATTATTATTATTATTATTATCATTATTATTATTATTAATATTAAGTGCTCATTGGATAATTCACTAGAGGTAAAGAGGAAAATATAGACAGGGGTTAAGTTCATGGTAGCCGTTGTATGATGGGGTTAATTATAAAAGCATTGGTTTGACAACATTGCAAAACAATTCCAGCTAGCTTAAAATTACAAAGTACTGCTTTATTCAGTGTTAAAAGTTAAAACTAAGTAGCATCTAGTGAATGTGAAGGCTTTTTTTATATTAATTGCTTATTGGTGGTGAGTGTAAGACTAATTTGTGTCAGGGTTACTTTTTGTTGTTAGGAATTGTATGATTCTACATTTTTCTAGTTTATGGACGGCATAGTAATGATTCTGCATTTTGTTAATGAATGCCATGTTAAAGTGATTTCCAGCGTTACTGTTAAAGAAAGCAAACCTAACACTTGGAGTAATTTGCCTTCCGTTACCTTTTTATCACAAATAAGCAATGCCTGGAACTTTTTTCTATTCTCGTTTATATTTCCTTGTTATATGCAGTTTATTGCTGGCTGCGGGAAGTTTTTTGAAGGGACTGCAGAGCAAATGTACCATTCTCTATGTACTACCCTTGGTTCTTTGCCAAAGCCAACCCGAGTATATTGTGGTCATGAGGTGAAGCATGAAATAATGTTTATGCATAATATTGTTGATTTTTGGGCCCCTCCCCCTACCAAGAAGTGACTAAGTATTATGGTTTACAATCTTCATTTTGATGTGGTCTCTTCAATTCTTTTGAGAGTATACTTTTCATCTTCTCCTACGTAGAAAAGGCATCTTGTTCAGGTTCTTGTTCTTCATGATTGGAGCTGACTTCAGTAGTTTTTTTGTTACTCTATATTCTATTCTTTTGACTACTACAACAACAACAACAACAACATAGCCTTTTAATCCCAAGCAAGTTGGGCTATTCTATTCTTGTTACGAATAATATTTAGACAGTCAAAAGATATTTCTTTTGACTGTCTAAATATTATTCGTAACAAGAGTCCAATTTATCTTCATGAAGTATAATTGCTACACCTGTCCTGTGTTTTTAGCTGCCTGTGGATTCATATTGTTATGATTACATGGGGTGGGAACAAACTGAAGTTATAATATATGTAAGCATAAAATGACAAGAAATACAGGAAGCTTACAGGAAGATTGGGAAGCTGTTTGAATCCTTTCTTTTGTACTCGATATTTCACTTGGCATAAACAAAATTGGCTAAAATAAAGATGCTTGACTATTGTGGTCACTATTCCATCATTTCTTACTTTCAATCAAAGAGGTGTGTTTTTTCTCATTCATTGTATTTTTCCGTCATGGTTTTCAATTCTCATAATGATAGTTACTCATCTTACATACACTGAATATTGCCTCGTTTGATTATTTAAACTTGAGTTGCCCGAGTTATAGACATAGAATTCACATTCTGTCTTATATTTCCTGTTGGTTTTTGCGACGCCAGGAAAGCATATAGCTTAAAGCCTTAAACAAAGTATTTGTGATCATCACCTCTGATTTTAGCTCCTGATCTGACTGAATTAGTATCTGTTATATTCAGTATAAATGTTATATTTTAACCCCTTCTGTATCAGATTTTGTTCCCTGTTTTCTCTCACATTTTAACTTGTTATCCAAATTGCATCTTATCCCTGAATGACTTAATAACCATTTCTATATCATACCAGTATACAGTGAAGAATTTGCAGTTTGCTTTGACTGTGGAACCAGAAAATGGGAAGATATCTGAGAAATTGTTATGGGCTGAGCAAAAGAGAAAGAATGGTCTTCCAACTGTACCATCAACTATCGAGAATGAACTGGAAACAAACCCATTCATGCGTGTTGATCTACCCGAGGTTCAGGTAACCAAAAAGAACTCATTTAATCAGATGATAGTATTTGCAAATACAAGTTAGTAATTGTAGAATAAGTTGTTGTGGAGCTATATTTTAAGAACCATTTCTTATACACTGGCTGCTAAACAGAATAGAGAATATGAAGCACCCATAGCCTTTATATTTCTAATTTCTGAGAATGCTATGAATAAACGGAGGCAGAAGTCGGCAATTGAAAACACGTTAATAACTAAAACAAGAGGCTTGATTTTTTGCAGGAGAAGGTTGGCTGCAAGTCCCCTGTCGAGGCCCTACACGAAATAAGAAGACGGAAGGATAATTGGAGAGGATGAAGTCTATATATGTTTCTCGATCAGCCTTTTATCCTATGCCATGTTTGTGTTAATAAATCTGAACAGTGGGGTCTGTAGAAGCATATATTGTTTTTCTCCTTTCTCGTTGGAATGTGTTGATTACTGAAGTAGCAAACTTGAGCCGTCTATTGAATAAATTTTTGTTTGAAATAATTAGTAATTAATTTGCTTGAAGTTTGCGTAAGGTCCTCATTTATGATCTGTTGGACCAGTTCTGTATGGAGATGCCCAATGGTTCTTATAGTGATTGCAATTATGTGTGTTGGACTGGGAAAACAACATTTCGTATTTTATTAACCACCAAGAATAAAGAACAGGTCTCCGTTTAGGAAAAAAATATTTGTACAACTTTTTTTTACAATATTCGATGATAACATGATGTGGCATGATGTGGGTGGTTAAGATGCAAATAAATGTATGGTTGAGATTTGAGTTAATGATACTTTTAATTAAGTTGTCAACTAATGTTGTAAACTACAATTGTACATGTAGCATTGTCCATATTTTTGCAATTTTTGTTTATATATATGTTTGCAATTTTTGTTGATTATGACAAATTAATTATTTAAAATAATATTAAAACTATTATTATAGCAATTGTGTACGAAATTTTAAGAGTTTGGTTATCCCATAAAAATAATCAACTAAAAAAGAAACAATAGTTTAAATAAATAGTTTGAAAAAAAAATTAGAATAGAATATCATTTAATGTGAATTTATGATTAGTCAGTACTGAAGTGCGCTCAAATGAGAATGAAACACAATGAAAGAATGAAACACAATGTGGCTTTATGTTAAGATTTTTTTAAACGCTACTTTTCACCTATCTAATTATAAATATTTTTTTTAAAATATTATTAACACATGTTAAATTTAAATATTTTTAGATATGTTTTCTTTACAAAGTTGTTTAGAAATTTTTTTTAATTATTTTTAGACATGTTTTCTTTCCAAAACTAGTGTTGATACCCGTGCGATGCACGGGATGCAATACAAATTCTTTTTTTAATTTAAATATTATAAAATTATTTAAGACAATATGAAATTATATTCTGCATAATATTCTTTTTTGTAATAATATGATATTTATTTATTTACTATTATTGTTAATTTCAATTTTCATATACTTTTTTTGTAGTTTTTGACTATTTAATATATAAATTTTATTATTTATATAGATCATATGATATTTGCATACAAATTACTTGTATGTACTTATAAAATTGTCGTTTATCATAGTTTTATAATTTTTTAACGATTCATAATTTGCACATTGCTTGATAATTGACCAACGTTTAACCCATAATATTTATCTTCCGCTATAATTGTTAAGTGCATTAAATGCTAAAAATTTTAATAAATAAATTTTATGTTTTAGTAACTTTAATCCTTATGCAACACACAATTTTCTTATGGTTAAATATTTTATTTTTATGTGTTTATATTTTATTTATATCTATTTCTTTAATTAATTTTTTCAATCTATATAATGAGTTACATAGTATCTATTCGAATATTTAGATATATTTCATATTTCCATAATTACCAAGTGCTATAATTTAAATTATTATACATTACTCTTTTATTAACTTATTTTTCATTTATAAAATAGTATAAACGAAAAAATTATATATTTATAAAAATTGAATAGTTTTTTGATGTACATAGATACTTCTAAGGTGAAATTTGTAATTCTTAATTGCACCCGACCATAAAATTTTATTTTTATTAGCATATTATATAAATTTTCAATAGTATTATCACTGCATATGATATATTCAATGGGAATATACCATTTTATAGTTAAATTGACTACATTTTAGAAACTTTCGTTAAAATTTAAATTATTTATTAAGTTATTATGATTTAGACATAATTATTTTGATTATTTTATTAAATATTTTAAGTACTTATGAATAGTGAATATAATTAATTAAATTAATACCTACAAGCATAGACGATAATATATTTAACCAAATCAATTTCTATAATAATTTTTTGAATTGTGTCAATAAATTACTATTAAATTAATATAAGATCTTGTTGAAAATAAATTTAATAAATTTATGGTCAAAATTTTAATTTAAGTCAATTTGTAGTTAATGAGTAAATGTCATTAAGCGTATAAAAATCCAATTATGGCAATAAGGATTGATTCATTATATAGATATAAATAATAATTTAGAAAAGTTAGGCGACTTCACATAAAAAATAATATAGAAAATTTTGGATATTTATACATATATCAATATAATATTTTAGGTGTTTTTAATATTTTAAACATACAAAATTGATTTTATCTTATACATGATAATTTAAATTGTTTAACCCCACATCTAATATATAATTATTATTTTATATTCTTTATCTTCATCTTTAATTTATAATTATTATTTTTTTCCTCTTTTAGAAAGTATCAATACTAGTTCTCACTCCTTCTATTTTTTAATTATTCTTTTTTTCTTCCCTTCTATTTTTTAATTATTTTTTTTCTTCCTTTTCTTAGAGATATCAATTGTCTCCTTCTATTGAGTGATTCAAATTCGAGACCTCTTTATAATTATTTCCTGTCGCCCACTAGTACTTCCTATACTACTTCCCAGGGTTCATCAATGAATCTGACACCATAATTTCTTCCTTCTCAAGTCTCAAGAAAGAAAAATGGCCGAAAAAATAAAAATAAATAAATAAACCGGGAAAAAAAAGAAAGAAAAATGGGGTTCTTTCTTTAAAGGGGATGGTCAAACCATCAAATTATTTAAATGACTCTTTGAAAAAGTTTTTTGTTTAAATAACCCATCCATAAATAAAGGTAAATTAAAAACTGATATACCTAAAATAACTTTAGATAACAAATTTCTATAATACCCTCTCTTCTATTATCTTACCAATTTTATAATTAAAAAAAAATAAAAATAAAAAATTGATCGAACAGAAAGCTCCTCGCTCTCTCCCGCTCGGCTCTGCTCTGCTCCCCTCACTCTGCTCCTCTCTCTCACTCCATCCTCTCTTCTCTTGAAAAGGTGAGAACAAAATATGATCATTACACATAAACATTGGATTACATATTGCAAAAGAAATATGGTGATGGTAGAAGATCAACAATTAAAATATGTTAGGGTTTATTGCTATTTTAGAGATAAAGCATTTTGGTTCATAATTTATGATTGATAAACATGTTGGTTTCATATTTATCATGTTTTTGTGGCATTGAGGTTTTTTTTTTCAATTTTTTTGTACATAACGTATGTACAGTCGTTATGTTGTTTCATAACGAATGTACATTCTTTATATGAAGAAAATCTCATAACGAATGTAGATTTGTTATCTAATTATTTTATAACCAATGTAGATCCTTTATTTGATGTTTATTTCATAAGGAATGTAATTTCGTTATGACATATCCCATTGTTTTTAATTATGATATATCATAATGTAGTTTCGTTATGACATAACGAATGTATTTTCGTTTTGACATATCTCAATGTAGTTTGGTTATGACATACCCCAATGTAGTTTCGTTATTATACTTTGATATGCATTTTGGTTTCATTTTGGTTTTCATGTTTTTTGTGGCATTCACATTTTATCTTCCATTTTTTTTAGATGATGTTGCATTTGATATTGCCGCCGCCATCACGACGTCCAAGGGGCAGACCTACATTCGAAAGGAAAAAATCTGCAGGTGAGGCTCGAAGAAAATCAACTACAACTAAACCTCACCAAATTCATAAATGTAGTAGGTATTCCAAAGTCGGCCATAATCGTGGAAGGTGTCCAGAAAAAAAACCTCAATGAAGCAACTTGAAGTTATATTTTGATTAGTGTATTGCTTTTGACTTATAGGGTTTTAATCTTTTTGTATAGTGTTTTGACTCGGTCATATAGTGTTTTAACTTTTTGTTTGTTGTTTTTGATGTGTTCTCCAATTCATTAAAGTGAGTTGCTACAGTTTGGAGTTATATTTTGTCTTGTGTTTAATTTTTTATGTGTATCCAATGTAGTGATTGTTGAAAATATTAAGGGTAATTGATTCACCTAATGTACTTATTGAACAATTGTTAAAGGAAATTTGGAAACAAACGACTATAGTCTCGTTTTATAGTATTATATAGTAGTATTACATTAAAATAAACTACAAATATAAGTATAATGAAAGTACAGTCGTTATCATGTATGAAATAACGAAGGTACCGTCGTTATCTCTATCGTGGGCGCGACAACTATCACGGGTGCGACACTGAAACTACAAATCGGTCGGGCAGAGAGATTCCCAGGTCGTCGCGGACGCGACGTGTATCGCGGTCGCGACACTATGGTGTTATTTTCGGACAGAAAGTTGTCCAGTATGTCGCGGGCGCGACAGTTGCTACCGTCGCTGGCACGATACACGTCGCGGGCGCGACACGAAATATGGAACTGCAGAAGCTCGCGACGCCTCGTCACGCCCGCGACGCATAGGCTGTCACGGGCATGTTATTTTTTGTTTTTTTTTCTAACTTTTGTATAAAATCAATAAAATGTTACTCGCTTTAATTTCGGGATCTCGAAATGAAACTCCTTCGTTTACATGATCTAACCTTTTTTCACAAAAAAAAAACAAGTATTGTTATTTCAAAAACGAGTTTCGTTATGAGTGTTTCGATGCTCCAGCACCTTCAAACTGTCGTTCCAATGACATGTATCATGAATATACACTCCTTATCAAGTAATTCGATCAAAAAAACCATAAAGAAAGCGCGTTTGGGTCAAAAAACAACCATAACGAATGTACGTTCGTTATAAGGAATGTACAGTCATTATAGTTGTTTTTTGACACAAACGCGCTTTCTTTATGGTTTTTTCGATTGAATTACTTGATAACGCATGTATATTAATGTTACATGTCATCGGAACGATAGTTTGAAGGTGTTAGAGCGTCGAAACACTCATACAGAAACTCTTTTTTTGAAATAACAATACTTGGTTTTTTTTTTAAAAAAAAAATAAAATGGAAAGATGATGTAATATCTTTGTAAATTCATTATTTTTACTTAAAAATGACCAAAATTAGACTTATAACGAGTTTAATATGTTTATAACGTATTATATGACGAATGCACGATCGTTTAAAGTGGATTTGGTAGAAAAACAACCATAACGAATGTGCACATTGCACATTCGTTATAACGAATGCACATTCGTTATGGTTGTTTTTCGACACAAACGCGCTTTTTCATGGCTTTTTTGATCGAATTACTTGATAACGATTGTATATTCATGTTACATGTCATTGAAACGATAGTTTGAAGTTTTTAGAGTTTCGAAACACTCACAGCGAAACACTTTTTTGAAATAACAATACTTGGTTTTTTTTTTGTTTTTGAAAAATGAAAAGATCATGTAATATCTTTGTAAATTCGTTATTTTAACTACAAAATGACCAAAATTAGACCTATAACAAGTTTAATATCTTTATAATGTATTATATGACGAATGCACGGTCGTTTAAGGTAGATTTGGTCAAAAAACAACTATACTGTAATATCCCATTCAGTAATTAATAAAACTAATTATTCTAAGTTGAACTAATTTCTTTTATTAATAATGCTCGTTCCTAGTTCCAAGCCAGCTATTAAGTTATTCAGTTAAAAGTTCGACTTTAAGTCGAAAGTATTCTCGGTTAAATTTTATTCAGTAATCGAGTCAGTTCAGTAATTAATTAATTCCGGTCTGTTTATTTATATAAATGGATGTATAAGAAGAGATTAATTAATATAAGATAACGAATAATCGAAATTGAGTATATTTTGATTAATCGTTTAAGATAAGTAGTGAACTGAACTCAAGTATGTTCGGTCATGAGTTGAACTTAATTAAGAAATAGCCGAGCCTTAGTACTAAATACTTAGAATTTTTCTAAGTGTTCAAGTCATCAAGGTAAGATCATAATATTGAGCTTTAGCATAAGTTGATACAAGTTAAGTCTCGAAGTGCGGTTAAGTATCCATGAACATTTAAGTGATAAATGTTCAAAGAAGTGAGAAAATTTATTTAGACATTATAGTCTATTTAAATTATTTTAAGAGAAACCGAAATTTTTAGAATTTTCGGTTTTACGGTAATCGTTCGGTTTAATTTCGAATGTGGTTCCGTAAATGTAGAATATTTCAAGATAATTATATTAGATCCTAAGAAGCAATATGTTTATTAAATTGAAGAAAAACTGTGAGTAAAGGATTTAAATTTTAGAATTTTCACTTTTACGGTAAACGTTCGTTTTAAGTCCGATTTGAGTTCCGTAAATTGTATTATCTCAGTTTATTAGCATGATCCAAGACCATATATAAGCATTACTTTTCAGTAAAAGAGTTTTAAAAATCAGCCATTTTGATAGAAAATGCATAAGTAATAAAAAAAAAGGATGATTTTTATTATTTTTATTATTTTGTTCCAAAGTTTTTATATGATGAATGGTGACATTTTTTCAATAATATATGGAATCAATTACATCACATTAAGCACGAAATTTTGGTCATCAATTGGTGAGAATGAGATGAGAAAATCACAACAAAGTTTTGCTAAGTTTTTAAGTTAGCATTTTTTTTTCAACAATTGGTGAGAATTTTATTAAACTTGGTGGAATAAGTTTTATCTACCAAAAAGCTCATTCATGGCTATGAATAGAGGCTATTTTTGATGATTCATTATGTTTGGATAAGAATACAAGTTAATCATAAAATAGTTTATGATTAATTAAGTTTATAAGTTTAAATTGTTTATTTTGTTCATTTCTTCACTCCATTATGATGTCTTGCCAAATTGTGCCTATAAATAGAGGCCTAAAAATCAGAGTTCTCACACCAAAGAAAAGTACCAAAAGATATATATGAGTGTAAGAGAGATAAGTAATAGAAATTGTGAAGAAGTGAAGAATTTAGAAGTGAAGAATCAAGTTACGATTCTAGCAAGAAGGAGGTAATTTACTTATCTTAAAGTTTTATGCTTAAGTTCCTGTTTTGATAATGAGTTTACATGTTTATAAGTAAGTATATCATGATTTAGAAGTTAAATTTATAATTGATTCTATGAATACAAAGAGTTAAAGTTGTTCAAGATCAATTATATGATATATGTGCTTGATTTGATGAGATGTTGATAAAGATATGAATAAGCTAGAAAAGTATGATTTAAATGAATGATTCTTATGTAAAAGAGGAGTACATGAGAACAAAAATTATGTGATTTGGCAAAGTATAGCTTGAGTTATGAATTTTTGAAGTTGAACATGCAAGATGAATTTTATGTTCACTATGACTTTAAATTCTAATAACTTGATGTATATGCATGCTAAAATTATAAATTTTTAATGACATGTCTAATTATAAGTTGAGATTATGACTGTTAAATTTCATGATTTGAAGATGAGAAATGAATGAGTTATGATAATTACAAGGCATATATGTAAAGATGAGTATATATGCAAGAATATTCATGATATGATCAAGTTATTAAAGTGAGATTATTATGATCAATTCTCATATAAGTGATGAGCAATTTGGCAAAGTTTTAGTTTAATATGTTGAGTATATAATCTAATAAAGATTGTATTAAGTATGACATATTAATATCATGATTAAATGTTATGATTAAAAGTTGAAGTATGACTTGAGTTTATTTTCACTTTCAAGTTAATTAAGTGAAAATTTAATATAAGCCAATATTTAAAATTTGGGAGATATGATGTATGATGACTTAAGTATTTGATTGAGTAAAAGATTAAGATGAGTTTGTAAATCATGTTGATGATGTTGGAAAAAGTTAAGATGTTTGATGACTTAATATTTATTTGAGACATATTAAGCTTATTGAATATCTTTAAGATTCGGATAAGTAAGAGTTAAATCTTATTGAGTATACGAGCATAGTACTTAGTATATTTGTTTATATTTTTATGTAACTTGCAGATATAGCTACCCAAGAGCAACACTTACATTTTTCAAAAGTTTTCAAAAGAAGAAAGGTGGGGACCCAGACTGGGTATTACATTGAGTATAATATTGATATCATGCTCGAGGTATGTATACAGTTTAAGTTTATACGCTTGGGATGAGAAGACATTCAGTTGTCTCAGAGTATATCCTAAGTTCTAATGGAGGCCGTTTGAGTTGCCTTGAGAAATATCCATCATATTGTGCACAAGTATCCGATCAGATATCGGCCAGATTCAGTTTAAGTTACTGGAACAGCTTTCCAGTCCAGATATATACCAAGGATCATGATATTGTATTATTACTGTTGTTTACTTTAGTATGGGTGATTTCGGGGTACAAGAGGATCAGTACTCACCCCATTGTGTTTTTCAGTTAACAGGGTCGGGCCGGAGGTGTGAGCTCGAGATGTGGTGGTGATGGTCGTGCACTTATTTCAAGTGGACATTTATTAAGTATTTGATCTGTGTGTATAATAAACCATGTTTTTAAGTATTTCCGCTATGCACATTAAGTATTGAACTTGCATTTTTAATATTCAAATTTCAAGTTTATACCATTTCGAGAAGTATGAATATGGTACAGTTAAATGCAAGTTTAAAGGAAATCTGTTTTCTTTATGTCTAGAGAAGTATTAGACAGAAAGTTTAAAGATAAATGGATTTTCAAGAAGATGAGTTTGAGTAGCATCTCGAGTTAGTCGCAAAATATTTCAAAAGAGTTATAAGTATTTTCGAAGTAAAAGTTGCGAAAAATTTACTCTGATGAGCGGGGTGTTACAATAACGAATGTAGATTCGTTATTTTGTATAAAATAACGACCAAAACGACCCAAACGACACGACTATTGTTAAAATACTAGTTTAATATGCAACGACCAAAATAACGCGACAAGCAAGTTTTTTTTTTTTTTTTAATAACGAATGTAGATTCGTTATTTTATACAAAATAACGATTGTACAATCGTTATAATGAAAAGACTATATGTCGCGGGAGCGACACAGGGTCGGACAGAGAAGGTTGCCAGGACGTCGCGGCCGCGACGGACGTCGTGCCCGCGACAGGAATGTTTTTTTATTTTTTTTTTAAATAACGAATGTAGATTCGTTACTTTATACAAAATAATGATTGTACAATCGTTATAATGAAAATACTACATGTCGTGGGAGAGACTCTGGGCCGGACAGAGAAGGTTGCCAGGACGTCGCGCCCGCGACAATCATTTTCTTTTTTTAAATAACGAATGTAGATTCGTTATTTTATACAAAATAACGACTGTACATTCATTATTTTTTAAATGACGTGTAATCGGTTCCTCAACTTATTTTCGGGAGCTCAGCATCGAACTCCTTCGTTATTTATTAAATTAAAACTTCTCGTTACAGTAATAACTTTAACTCTTTTGATAAAATACTATTATAACCACTGCATTGGGAAGTACGTAAAAAATACAACTTCAAAAATCGACCACCCGCATCATTGCATTGAAAAACACATGAAAAACAACACAAAAATGTAGTATCCAAAAGTTCCTTACAACATGTTACATATTAAATGTTTAAAACAAACTATGGATCAAAATGAGCACCAAATATTTTAGCCGCTAGTTTTACACGCCAATCACTAATCCAAGATTGATCTACACCTTCAACATTCTTCCCAGCATGCAAAAATTCTATACACTTGATTGTAAACATCCCACAATCAAACCTGCAACATAAATGTACAAATTCCATTACTTTACCAAGTTTCATAATACACTTGAAAACCTAATATGATCAAAATATATTTAATACATAAGAATGTACATTCGTTATTTCATACACCATAACAAATGAATCTTCATTATAGTTATATTTTTATCTCGGTCAATTAAATACACCTATACATTCACAATATAATACATTATGACGATATTTTACTCGTTAAAATTATAAGTTAACTCATTTCTAAAGGATACTAATAAAATGATTTTTTATTCTATATCGAGCTTCTTTTATTCTTTGAACTTAACAACCTTAAAGCATGCTATTAAACTGAAGCTTGAATAAATATTGGCTTATCAAAACTCATACATGTAACGAATGTACATTCGTTACGGTTATTTTTAGATCGAAGACAGAATCATTAACACGTCATATATAACGAGTTTAAAATATCATCCTAATGTCATATATAACGAAGATAGAATCATTAACACGTCATTCCATCAAAATAACCATAACGAGAGTACATTCATTATGATTTCAACATAATGAATGTACATTCGTTATGGTTATATTTCCATCCCGGTCGATTAAATACACCTATACCTTCGCTATATAATACATTATAACGATATTTTACTCATTATAATTACAATTTAAGTGATTTTTAATGGATTCTATCAATACATAAAACGAAACAAGTATCGTTATCTCATAAAATGAGTCTCATTATAAGTATTGCGATACTATAACGAGTGTGCATTCGTTCTAGTGTAATATATAACGAAGATGGATTGATTGGTTCTAAGTATACAACAAGTAGCATAGGAAACATTTCATCAAACATATAGAGTGCACCAATTACTCTCTTACTTCATTAACTCAATCCTACAAGCATTTCATCAAACACATAGAGTGCATCAATTATCATCTTCAATTCCATCAAACCAAACAAAAATTAGATGAATTCACATAACACAATCAAAATCTTTCTCCACCAATATCAAATTAAATAAAAGAACAAATTGACAAAAAACGAAAAAATCCGTACCGATATTGACGAGAGAGAGTTCTATAGTAATTGTTCGCGAAAAATTGCAGAAGAAAAAACAGAGAGCGAGAGGGAGTAACGAGAAGAAGAAGAGCAAAAGAGTGAGAGCGAGAGAGAGCAACGAGAAGAAGAAATGCGGGAGTAGAAGAGAAAATGGAGAAGGAAAGAAAAATTTATTACAAAATTATGGAAAAAGTATATTAGTACTTGTCTTTGTAATATCATTTTTCATTTACTTTATTCTTCCCTTTTGAGTCAAAGGTCATTTGGCCAATTTTGTTAATAGGGAAGTCATTTGAAACAATTCCCACATAAAAATGGCAATGTTCATAATAGGTAGCTGTACTCGTCAGTTCTTCAAGAATATTTTGAGGACTCCTTTCATTGTTGCTTGATTTTCTGGCTCTCATGGATTCTGATGCTACAGCTTTTGAATCATCCTCTCCTTTATCACCAAGCACTGGAGTATCGAGCTTGAGAGCCCTCCTGCTCCCTTCCCTCCGGTTCCTACAGTTCCCCGTCACGTCCCTGCTCGAATACACCGGTATCCTAACTGCCCGGCCCGTTTACCCCTACTCAGAAGCTCGTCCCCTCATACCGGAAAACCTTAGAAGCTCAGAGCCAGTCGACGGCCTAGACAGGAGTGACAACAGCAGTAACGGCGCCGGCAGTAGCCCCAGCAGCGGAGATGTTTCGATTCGGATAACTGGGGACAGGAATAGGGTTCGCGTTGTGAGTAATGGGGAAACTGGTGATTTGAGTGGGGATGAGTCCGCAGATTTAGTTAATGGGAACGTGAGTAGTGTTGGTGGTGATATCGAGGGAAACACTAACAGGAACGAGTCTGCTTATCAAAGCCATGATATACAGCAGGCGGTGAGGTGGATTGAGCAGTTCCTTCCGTTCTCATTCCTCTTGTTGTTGGTCTTCATCAGGCAGCATTTTAGAGGTAAAAATTGCTTGATTGAATTGCGTTTCTATTGTTCAATGTAACAACTTATTAGTCTTATCATTTTTCATTAAGCTACATCTTGTTGAGTGTCTGAATTTTTTGAATGCGAGTTTGGAGTTGTTCTCTCCAACTTAGCGGGTGATGTTTCGGATCTTATTGAGGGCATATGGTAATAATGTGTACTGACAATGAAAGACTTTTGGTTGACCAACATAATTAGTATGGTTGGGTTTGACTGTTATGAATGAAGGTTGTGCTTCTATTAGTCACTGTGATGTGAATCTGGTAATTCGATGAGTTGTTGAGAAGTCGATTTTAGGATGATGCCATTGCTTGGCCTGGTTGTAGCTATTTGCAGTTGCTATTTAAGACCTTGCAGGAGGCAATCAAAGGGGGTGGTGGAATTTTATCATGGCATGTTAATTTAGGTATTCTTGTGGCCTGCAATAGTCATAAATGGCATTTTTTGCAATTTCGTCGTTCAGCATAAGAATTCTTTTTGAGGTTTTGCCCTGATGATCCTTCACATTGTTGATTAGACCTTTGGCACCACTCAAGTTCCGGTCAGCTAAGTTTTGAATAAAAATTACAAGGCCATGTGCGATGGCACTTTTTTGCACATTCCACTGATCTAGGCTTGTGTTTGTGATGTCATGAAAAGAGTCGCGTTCTAAACTTTTTAAGAAAGAAAATTGAAAGTGAATTTGTATATGGCTTTTATAGGAGTTACTGCAGTTTGATCATTGTAACATTTTGGCCTTTACCTGCATATATGTACCCCCCACGGACTCTGGAAAAACTGCCGTTTCTATTTTTGTGTTGTCCCATGTTCTGTGAGGATAGTTCACATTCTTGTTATATCTGGATGGTGTGAATGTGGGTGATTAGACAAATTTTTCTTTGGTCTCCTTAAATTGCACGCCTTCCATCCTTTTTTAATTTAAGTTTAGGCATAATCTTGATCTCTATCAATGTGAATGGCTTAATATGGTTTGTAAATGAACGGGCTGATGTATATGCGGTGAACATTATTGTTTATGATGCATAACGATTATTTATATACTGATTACAGTGTAAAAACAAGAAGCACTTTGAACTCCGTTAAATTTGATGGTTTGTTAATTTTTATATGCTCCTTTTTTTTTATTTTTTATTTTTTTATTTTTTTTTTTTGTCACAAAACACAATCTACGTTTCAATCCAACTTTTGGCATATTCAACTTATGCATTTTCAGATTTTTCGGTGTCAATTTATATTACTGCCATCTTGTTCAAGTCCGATGAAATTCTTCAGAGGCAAACAGCATTAAAGGTATTTTATGTTCCGTTGCCTAAATATTTGGCTGCAAAATATTCCTGTAAATGAAGTGAACTCTCTACCTATACTTCACAAAATAAGATGGTCTGATTGACGATGACCGCGCGTCGCGACACGGCAAATTTAAATTTATATTTTTTTCCTCGACTAACCTCTACTAACTAGTAGTAGTGGCGAGTAAGGGTCGATCCCACGAGGAGCAGGAATTAAATCGTGATAATTTCGTATTAATTGAACTAAACTAAGAAAGCAATAAAAGATGGGGGGGATTGGTTTTATAAAAATAAAAATAAAAATAATAAAATAAATAAAAATCAAATAAAATAAGAGAAGTCCAGCTTTCGGTTCAGTTATCACCCAATCTAAATCTACCGCTAAATAATTTCGACGCTTTCTTTAAATCGCTAATGAATTACCGACCCTAGCTAACAACAAGCTCTGTTAACCGAATTTTCCCTTACCGAATATTTAATCGAAATAAGCTCTTCGACTAAACCTAACTAGCGGACAACCTAGAATAAGCTCTCTAGATTTAATACATTAGCAGCATTAATTCCTAGGAAAATAGATCAGTCTAAGCAATGGACGCAAAAGCTCGGACCATTTAACTTATGCTCATGCTACCCTAGAGATGCACGACCCCTAGTTTACTACTAATGAAATGAGACAATAACAATTACGGATTAAAGCCTCGAATCTAGCAGTTAAATTAAGAATATTCAATCTAGCTGGCCAAACTAAATCAAACACCATAATTCATAAACATTAAACATAGATAACATGAATCAACTCATCAACAAAAATAAATACGGCGTCTCGATTAATCAATGATAAAAATAAATCCTTCAATCCATAGACAAATCAAAGTTAGGGTTCAAACATCCCCTCAAACTGGATAAAAATATTAGCCTAACATACTAATAAAAATAAATATAAATAAATAAAAGAGAGAATAAAATATCTCCCTTGTGCGAGTGCGGCTTCCCTCCGCGTGTGATATGCTCTTTCCAGTTCGTGCGCTTTTTTTCTGGCCAATTCTCTTCTCGTCCCAATTAATTCCCCCGCTGCTTGTGTACTACTCAAGCCACAAATAAATCCCTCCTAATGTGTAACTCTCAGCCAACCCGTCACCAAAACAAAATTAAGAATAGTGTTTAAATCAAACACTTCTTTCCAACTTTCCAAGTGGCGTGTGCTGCTAATATCTTTTTCTTTTTCTTTTTTTTACTTCTTTTTTTTATTTGCTGCCAATAGAATTAACGGGCTTTACTCGATCCGATATTCAGGCACTCCGATAAATGCTACTTGAACTCTCGTCAACAGCTTCGTCATCCACAAAATACTGTAATATACTGAAAATAAACATAAAAATATCAATGTATATGAATCCGTCCAAATAATAAATAAGTCGATAAATACAAACGTGCGATTAAATTAAGCATATAAAAATACGCTATTGAATATATAAAGTACGCACATTTTTCGACCTATCAAATCTCCCCAAACTTAATCCGTTGCTTGTCCCCAAGCAACTTAGAACTATAAGCACATAGATGGATATGACACTCAAGTACGTGGAATATTTGCTCAGGTCCTCACACATCTCACATAATGCATAGCTACAACTTCCCAAATTAATGACCCTGGACTCGAAATAAAATTATCTTTAGAACGCCAACAATTGAATATCAATTCAGTGAATTACCGCAGCTCATCAATCTCTTCACCGAGTATACCAATCATGCAACTAACGACATCCCTTTCTTTGTCAACCGGTTTAGTTCCTCTTCGCTTCTAGCCAGAAATCAAACGTCTCGATTTTTTTTTCTTTTTCTTTCTTTTTTTTCTTTTGTTTTTTTTTTTAACTTGGGAATGGCAGCTTCGTCACAGTCTATTTAGCTATGCGTGCTAGAGTGTTGCACTAAAACTTCACAGACTGGCAGCTGTTGCAGCCCATGATCCTTATTTTTTTTTTTCATTTTTTTTTTCAACACATATTATTCTTTTCCTCCACATTCATTATTCACACCACCATTCCTTTTCTTTTTCTTTTTTTTTTTTCGAGACAATCAACTCCCAACTTTCCACGTCAAGTTACCTCACACAATCGACATCAAGCAGAATAGTCACCAGCACATTTCAAAAATATAAACAGTTCAAGACCAAGTTACTACAAATAAATCACATAAATATCAATCGTCATGTTTTTGTCCCTCAAATAACAACACTTCAAGAATTTAACCAGAAATCATTAATCCAAGTCATCATAACTAGCACAATAATTCCAAAAGACTCTCAAATCATCATTGCAAAATTCCACATACAAGTAAGCTCATACCCAAACAAATCAAAAGAGTATATATAATAATCCACCACATGAACCTCTCACACTAATACACCTCCCCAAACTTATAGTTTGCGCAAATGAAAGAGCACAAAAAGATATAAAAGGAAAGAGTTCACCTTATCCAAGAGAAGAAGTCGCGTTGCACACCATTGGGTTGCCTCCCAACAAGCGCCTTTTTTTATTGTCGTTGGCTCGACTTATTGCTCCGCTTTCTTCAAGCGGTCCATGGCGGCTTCATAGGTGGCCTCGAAGGAGGCATAAACCTTGCAGCTCCATTCTTATTAAAGATCCCCTCGTCCGGTGTCGGGTGCTTGACCGGATCTTTTCTTCTCGGTGGCAAATGATCATGGTAAAAGATTAGCCCGGGCTCATGGATAAGAAGAAATATCTCTACCACCTCCAGGATGTAAGGCTCTTGATTTTCAACATGCTCGGTTGCTGGTTGTTTGAACTCGGATAGAAGAGATTGATTTTCAGTCATTCTCGGGACAATCGGCGAAGCTTTTACGTCATTTTCACCTTCGAGTAAACTGTTATCGGGGGCCCCGATAGCAGTAGTAAATGCTACCAGGTTTTTATCGGGGGGGCCGGTAGCAGCGAAAATTTGCTCCTCATCGCCTTCTTCTTCATTCTCTTCATCGCTCGGGTCATCATTGGGCTCAGAAACATGATTTTCCAGCACCTCAAGCTCCATATCTCTACTCATCTCAAGGTCTTCGACATCACTTTGGCTCGGTTCAGCTTGAGATAATAGCCGACTCTTGGCTCGGGCATCCAATTCGCTCAATAGATCACCAATCGTTTTGCTACTAGCCATCAAAGAATTTTGACACTCTTCAAGTAACTTCATCACCGATGGACTAGTCTCTTGTTCAAGCGAAGGTTCTGAAAAATAATGTGAGCCTCCATATTGGAATTGAGATTCGTCGTGCTCATAAACAGGCTCATACGATCGGGAATATTGTGGATTTTCATAGAATGAATTTCCACGATCTCCCCAACCGTAATGGTCCCTATCGAAATTTGAATACGCCCAATCGTCTTGCCGATACCAATCTCTCTCGGTAGCTCTGCGTGCACCATACCTCTCGATCAAAAGTGGACAATCGTCGGTGACGTGACGTGTGGTATGACATAGACGACATGGTTTCCTTAGAACTTGACGAACACTCTCAATGGCTTCTTGGATCATAGCCGACATCCTAGCCTCACGATGTTGGTCTCTTATTTCCCTCTTTTTCATTTCATAATATGAATCGTAAGCGTAAGCACATTCCGGGCTCCAATACGCATCCATTTATTACAAGTACCACCTGTAAAAGAAACCAAAAGGAAAAAGAAAAATAGGGGGATTAAAAAAGTCAAAGAAAAATAAAATAAAATAAAAACTAATCTAATTACCTAATTCAATCAATACTAAAAAAAATCACAACTCAATTGCGCCACTCCCCGGCAACGGCGCCAAAATTTGACCGCGCGTCGCGACACGGCAAATTTAAATTTATATTTTTTTCCTCGACTAACCTCTACTAACTAGTAGTAGTGGCGAGTAAGGGTCGATCCCACGAGGAGCAGGAATTAAATCGTGATAATTTCGTATTAATTGAACTAAACTAAGAAAGCAATAAAAGATGGGGGGGATTGGTTTTATAAAAATAAAAATAAAAATAATAAAATAAATAAAAATCAAATAAAATAAGAGAAGTCCAGCTTTCGGTTCAGTTATCACCCAATCTAAATCTACCGCTAAATAATTTCGACGCTTTCTTTAAATCGCTAATGAATTACCGACCCTAGCTAACAACAAGCTCTGTTAACCGAATTTTCCCTTACCGAATATTTAATCGAAATAAGCTCTTCGACTAAACCTAACTAGCGGACAACCTAGAATAAGCTCTCTAGATTTAATACATTAGCAGCATTAATTCCTAGGAAAATAGATCAGTCTAAGCAATGGACGCAAAAGCTCGGACCATTTAACTTATGCTCATGCTACCCTAGAGATGCACGACCCCTAGTTTACTACTAATGAAATGAGACAATAACAATTACGGATTAAAGCCTCGAATCTAGCAGTTAAATTAAGAATATTCAATCTAGCTGGCCAAACTAAATCAAACACCATAATTCATAAACATTAAACATAGATAACATGAATCAACTCATCAACAAAAATAAATACGGCGTCTCGATTAATCAATGATAAAAATAAATCCTTCAATCCATAGACAAATCAAAGTTAGGGTTCAAACATCCCCTCAAACTGGATAAAAATATTAGCCTAACATACTAATAAAAATAAATATAAATAAATAAAAGAGAGAATAAAATATCTCCCTTGTGCGAGTGCGGCTTCCCTCCGCGTGTGATATGCTCTTTCCAGTTCGTGCGCTTTTTTTCTGGCCAATTCTCTTCTCGTCCCAATTAATTCCCCCGCTGCTTGTGTACTACTCAAGCCACAAATAAATCCCTCCTAATGTGTAACTCTCAGCCAACCCGTCACCAAAACAAAATTAAGAATAGTGTTTAAATCAAACACTTCTTTCCAACTTTCCAAGTGGCGTGTGCTGCTAATATCTTTTTCTTTTTCTTTTTTTTACTTCTTTTTTTTATTTGCTGCCAATAGAATTAACGGGCTTTACTCGATCCGATATTCAGGCACTCCGATAAATGCTACTTGAACTCTCGTCAACAGCTTCGTCATCCACAAAATACTGTAATATACTGAAAATAAACATAAAAATATCAATGTATATGAATCCGTCCAAATAATAAATAAGTCGATAAATACAAACGTGCGATTAAATTAAGCATATAAAAATACGCTATTGAATATATAAAGTACGCACATTTTTCGACCTATCAGACGAACTCATCAAAATGAACTTTTGATTTGCAGAGAGAGAGAGAAAGATTTTGATTCTTCTTGGTTATTCATTTATCTTCACGCTTCATATTGTCGGCGTGTACTGGTGGAGTAAAAAAGAAGAGTTCTTGTACCCATTACTCATGATTCCCCCATAAGCGATCCTACCTTTCTGGCATGCAATATTTATCATCCTGGTCAATGGTATGAACTTTGGCATCTATGTATTTCTTCTTAGAGTTGCATTTTTTTAATCAATGTAACACTAATTTGTTTGAAACAGCGTCACAATCATTTGTTTAAGCTTGATTGTAACAATAAAATTTTCATTTATTGTTGCTGAATACTGTCTATTGTTTTCGTTTTCTTTTTCCTGTTTTAATGAAGTTATATCCTTCATATATTTTTCTCATTTTACCTTTTATTTATTACTCTCAGATACGTTGGTTCGACAGTCAGCATTGGTCTTGAAATTGTTTCTGTTGATATATTACAAGAATGGAAGAGGTCCAAGTTTTATTAGGCAGGTAAGATGATTTTGTTCTTCATAATGTAAGTGGTACTAATATCGTACTACTGTAAGTTTGACTTCCTTTATGCTAATGGTGTATTGTTTTGGTCATTTAGGGAAATATTTTGAGCCTCATTGAGTTCACAACACTGCTTTATCGAGATTTGTTACAGACACCCGTGTGGTATAGATTCTTCTTGAACGAAGAATACGGGAGTCTGTTTTCATCACTCACAACAGGGCTGTATTTGACTTTCAAGCTCACGTCAACTGTTCGGAAGGTATGCCGTTTTCCAAAATTCCAGAAATTCATGTTGGAAAATAGCCTTCGGTTTTAGTCTAGTTACAGTATACCTCAGAATTACAACTATCCCCTTTATACTAGTATGTTTCACAAATCACATTCTCAATTTGCAGGTCAAATCGTTTGTTACTGTCTTCAAGGTGTTGTCAAGAAAGGAAGTCCAATACGGGTCTTATGCGACATTGGAACAGGTGTTTCCTTGGTTCTTTGAGTAGCCATTCTTATGATTTCTCATCAACATACCTAAATAATAACAACAATAACAAAAAATCAAAAAAATTATTCCTCTTAGCTGACAAGAAACTGCTAATTTATTAATAAGCTACACCCCTAAGCACTAGAACCTTCGCATAACATATGATGCTTCAGATATACATTATATTTCAATTATATTTGAAGTTCTAGTCTTTCTTAGTGATCAAAATTATACCGACTTCGATAAGTCATGGATGTTGGAGGATCAGTTTGTAGCAGTAATAGTAGGTCAACATCATATTGTCACAGCAGTTTTCCTGCTGGAAATAGTTGCAGGCAAGAAAAGAGGCCAAAAATAAAACTATTCATGCTTACATATTTTCTTCAATTTTTGTGATTAGGTAAATGCAGCCGGAGACCTGTGCGCTATATTCCAGGAAAAAATGCGTTCGCCGATTTTATTGCGCTGCGATCATATATTCTGTGAAGACTGTCTCTCCGAGCAGTTAGTCTTCACCTCTCTTATACAGTTACATTTATTTTGTTCTTTTAACTATCTTTTCTATTCATGCTTGGTTTATATGCCTTTGCCACCTCTTTTATTTACCTGCCAATAGTAGTCATTTATTCATGGTTGTGTGAAACTGAGCTAAACCTTAAGGCTGCCCATGCAAAAACAATGGCCTGGCAAATGCATCACCATTATTGCTGGTGAAAATGAAATGAAAGAAACTATAAATACCAATTGTTCATCATTAAAGTTGAATTAAGCAGTTGTCTGTTCTTCTGGACTGAAAAAGAAATTTAAGATATCTGTTAATATAAATCCAAGCTTTAAGTGAAGTGATCCTATCTCAAAGATAACAGAACTCTTACATTTGTCATAATCTTGGTTTTCATTGTAGTGCATATTAAGGGCTATAAGTCAAGCAAAGAGAGTAGGCTAAAAAAGAACAAAATAATAATAATTAAGAGAACGTGTCAAATGAACCCCAAACAATATTTGGATTTTTTTCCCACTGTTTATACTGATTTAATTATGAACCTTATTTTCTAATCTTACCATCAAATTGTTGGTCCTTATTTATTGTCTACTGTAAGAATATATGTTATATTCCCCTGCTTTTTATCGATTTCCTGCTTTATGAGATGAACCCAGAAATTGATTCAGTTGTAACTTTTCATTAAAATTTTGCTGTTGTAAGTCTTTGGACAGTGCTTTATGAACCAATCAAAGGATCCCTTCCTCCCCCTCTATATTTATATATGCAGATAGATGGATAATATTTCTATATAGATGTACTTTTTCATAAGCTACTATCCTCAATGTTAAAAGGGGCATAAAATGGACAAAAATCCCCAAAACCAAAAAGAAGAGAAGAAACGAATACATTTGGCAAATGTCTTATAAATTCATTGAGCCTTACTTTTTGTGAGTCAGTGACCACAATTGTAAGGGTCTTATCCTAAGAGGGACAAGTTTTAAATGGAATGGATTTTTTGGTAGACATGTTCTACAATATACATAGTTTCCACGTGGAGAATTTGAATGACTAATTGGTTTGAATGTGATTACGAAAGAACTAAAGGACACAATTTTTTATCAGGTTTGAACGGGCGAGAAGTCAGAGAACGTGCCCTCTGTGTAGGACATGGGTCAGATCAGCTCAACTTTGGCCGTTTGGTGATGGGTCTACTGATCTCTTCTTCCGGCTCTTTTAGCCTTAAAAATTAAACTTCGCGTTTAAAAACATGGGGAAATATCTAGGAATTTACTGCCCTTATAATGGGGGTGTGGATGAGTGAGCCATGGTTTCAAACCACCTTACATATATTTGTTCATATTTTTGTCCTGGTTTACTCACCTTTTATATGTGTAGTTTATAAACATTCAACGATGATGAGTGTGAAAAGTTGCAACAGAAGCAGGATATACAGATTTGTAGTCTGTGTTATGGATTTACAGTTTAGTTGGTGAATTAGCTGTTGATTGAAATCTATATAGACTATACTCGGTAATGTATTTAGCTGGTGAATTAGTTGTTGATTTAGTATTTTTTTTATAGGTAAGGTAACAAATGCAAAAATGTGGCCCGACAAATGCATAACATATTAGTTGTGGATTTTTAATCTTCTTTACTATCTCGAAATCGTTTTCATATATTTGTTATCGCTTTTAATTCGTGATTTGCTATTACATTCTTATTAATCTAACACTCATGGGTTTATAAAATAGATAATTTTTTTTTTTCGAAAAAATAGAGATTTTATAAAAACACACAAATGTGCAAACAAAGAAACAACCCACATCCGACATCTGAGTGATACAGTTAAAAGCTGAATATAATTGGGAGGACAGATTCGAAGATCGCCTAGAATTTAAGCTAGCAAAATAAAAAATAAAATAAAATAAAATAAAAAATAACTACAAAGATCAAATGATGGAGAATTAACGATCTCACAGAGATAATACACGCTCACACCCTGGAGAAAAAACAAAACAAAAGACCTAAACCAAAAAACACAACACCTAGAACTCTAAATACTAACAAACGCACCTAAATAATAAACTAAACTAACAGAGGCCTTCCACATCTCTAACTGAAGTCGAAACCCAAAACCCCAAACCACTCCAAGAAGCCAACCCGACCCTCAGCCGAAGGAACACCACTCTCGCCCCACTACACAATAACATCCCCAAACCCGACCAACACCACTGGCCAAGTCCGGCAGCACCGACCACCCCACGAACCCACCTCCAAGGAAACAAAGGAACAACAGGCGACAGAGACGCCGCTCCTCCGCCTCGGCCGCCCTGACGCAGACGCCTCAAGCGGCCCGAACCATGCCTAACCCACGACAACACACCCCACCCGACACCACCACGACTCCAGGGAGACCGACTGTAGCGCCCCGTTTGATTTATAGAATTTCTTGGATTATTCTATTTATCGAATTTCATTTATAAGTTTATATTTATTTTATTTGTCGCGATGTCGACTTAAATTTTATGTGAATCGTTTTGTTGTAAAACGTTCGTCGTTCGGTGATTTCGGTTTAATCGCATAGTTCGAATCTAAGCCGTTCGATTATTAAATTTTATGTGATTAATTGGTATTTATGTGATTACTTGGTATTATTATTAATTTGGGTTAATTATTATTTTGCTTGTTAAGGCCATCGTATTACATTGTCTTTAAGATGATGTAATGTCTCGTTCGATTTAATTTAGTTAAGTCGTTCGAAAATTCGATTTAAATCGGACCAAAGATCGATTTTTATCTTAGAATGTTGACCAAACTAAGCCAAAGTCAAACCGGGTCAAACCGGACACTTAGAAGAATTTTCTAAGTCATTTGGCCCTAAAGAGTACACCAGGCCCGCGCACCCGCTCGCAGCCCGNGTAAGTTAGGGCGACTCCAGCCCTATTTAAACCCTTTTTCCCCTTCCCCAAGTTTGATATCACTCCCCCTCTCCTCCCAGACCAGTCGCCACCTCCTCCCCTAAAAATTTCCAATCGGCACCCCTCCACCGCGCACCCCGGCGACCCGCGAGCGAGAATCCACGGCCAACCTTAATCCTCAGCCCCTATTTCGATCCCCCACAACCAGCAAGAGGACAATCGCTGCTTTCCAAGGTGGTCCCGACCTCCGGCAAGCCGAGCCCCACCGTCGAGCCTCCCCACGCACGCGATCAAGTCCCGAACCCTTTCTCTTGTGCTCCTTTGAGTGCAAGGACCCCGAGACCGGTACTTGATGGCTGTACCCTCTTTAAATTTCAAATGTCATGGTGTTATGATGCTGGCCCCTTTGATTTGATTCGTGATTATTAAAATTATGTGATAATATGTTGATTAATTGTGTGTTTGAAGTGTTTTAAGTGAGTTCTTGTTAGATCCATGTTCAAAATATGAAATCCTGTGGAATATGGAACCTATGATCGTACTTAACCATTTGAAAAAGGTTTGGGACGAATTGGTCTTGTATAAATTGAGTTTTGGATTTTTGAATCTAATATGATTTTCAAATATTATAAAATCGAGATCTAAATAAATACTCGGGCTTTTGATCTAACATTTGGAGGGTTGAATCCTCTGTGATTGATATGTATTGTGTAAAATTTTCAAGTAAAAACTCGACCTATAACCTGATGAACCGAGCATTTTAAATTCTGATCACAATATTGAAAAATTCATATAAAATTGAATTTTTTTTTATTTTGATTTTAATTTCTCGGAGTTGTAATTTTTCGGTCCAAACTCTGTTGTGTCCAAATTTCAAATGAAAACTCGATCGTTTTCCTGGAGAACTTGAAAAACCCTAATTTTGATCTTATTTTGCAAAAATGAGTTAACTGAGTTAATCAAACTTTTAAGGGTTGATCTCTGGTGAAATGATGTGTTTTTAAGTCTATTTTAATGTGGTAAAATTTCATAAGTTTTGGTCGAGTCAATTTTAAAAAGGTTCGGGTGTTATAAAATTCCCTGTCTCTGTCCCAGACCTGTGACCCATGCCTGTGCCCTGCCTGTGTATAACGCCCCGCCTTAACTTAATTATCAGAGTACGTTTTAAGACATCTTTTAAAAAAATTTTAAGAAAATGATTCGGAGCGTTACTAAAAGATTTATTTTATCATTAAAAATCCGTTACGACCATTTAAAATTTACAAGCAAAACGGATTAACATAATATACAATCCGACTATGAAATCAGATCAAAAATCAAAGTTTGTCAAAACAGTAAGTTCAGCGGAACATAGCGTGGCAAAACAAGACAATAAAATATTTAACTTCGACCATCCGTCAACTTCACAACTCCGGACCGACTTCATGACCTGAAAAATTTGATAAAAATGGGGTGTGAGTACCACTGTACTCCGTAGGAACTCATACTAAAGTAAACAGCAATAATAATAGTACATCATGATCAAAAGCATATAACATAACCGTGAATTTCCTGGTCAACAGTATAAACCGGACCGGGATCCGTGAATCTACCGGCTGCCATGATAATAATGATAATGATGATAACAATGATTGCCGGAATCCATGTGCACATACTAGTGGTAGATGATGCCACTAGAATTTAGAACGGAATTATGGCAACCTGAACCGGCCAACATCCATTCTAAGCAGAAAAACATAATTTGACATACCTTGAACATGATATCGTAATTATAATCAATGTAATACCCAGTCTGAGTCCCCACCTGTACTGAAGATATGAAACTGGAAGTGCTGATAGTCGTGAACTGATCAAACTGTAACATAATATAAACAATTACTAAGTACTATGCTCAGATCAATAAATTAACTGTTAAGATGCTCGACTCGACTTAATATGATATCCGGATATAACGGAATGCACTAAGGTTTCACAAAAATAATTCTAAGTCCGGAAATTATACTGATATGTTTAACTGATCTGGTTTGGCTCGGAAAATACATTAGATTTCGGAATAAGACTCGGACTGAAAATCACGAACCAAAACGGACTCGAACCGCCGGCTAAACCGGCTGGTTCGTTAACTAGATGAACCGGGTCGGCCTGGACCGGACCGGTTTGGACCACCAGTTCACACTGGACCGGGTGGTCACGGGCTGGCTGGGTTCGGTCCCGTGCCAGGCCTGTTGGGTCATGGCACGGCACTGGGCACAGGCTAGGTGCGACCGGGCCTTGGCACTAGGCGCTGTTGGCGCGGGCAAGGGTCACTGGCACTGGCCGAGCGCGAGGGACGCGAGATAGACGCGTACCCGGGCTGACAGGGCACTGGGCGTGCGGCTGGCACGACCCAGGTGCGGCTGGCGCGAGGAAAGACACGGCCCGACATGACTCGGGCGTCTCGGGTGCGACTAAGGTCCCGGGCGACCCTGGGCACGCGGGCGTGCCGCTGGACACGTCCCGGGCCAACTGACTGCTCGGGCGTGCGATTTGGCACGTCCCGAGGCCCCTGAACCCTACCCGGGTTCACTGAGGCATGGTATGACATACTCGGGTGCGCTGTTGGCACGACCCGAGGTCACTGCGCGTGGCACAGGCGACTGGCGCGGGGTCGCGCATACATGACCCTGGGACAGCATGGCCGCTAGGTGCGGCGCATGTCCGTGATCGGCCCTTGCCGGCTGTTCGGCCACTTTCCTTGATCAAAATGACATAACTTGACATGATTAACAAATTTATACATACATGGGTCTGAGGGTTATGACAATAACATGAAAATTGATGTGATTGGCCACGGCGTGCGCGATGGGCGCGTCCGACGGCCTTAACGTGTACCCTTGACCAAACATGAACCTTTTTCGAGCAACATGAGTTCATTGACCATAATTTATCATTTAAAGGCTGTTGGAACATAAATGTCCCTAACAAATTTGATCACAATGAAAGATACCCTAATAAGGTGAGACACGGCCCGTGGGCGCGTACGTGCGCGGTCCACTTCCTTTAGCCATTTCATGAACAAAATGAATACTTATCTCGTGCTATCTTTTAAGACTGAACATTTAACATTAAATAATGACTAATAATGCATGGTTTGCTCGAGAGAAGTCGACTACATAAAGAGATGTTATAATATGGCCTAAAATGCACACCCGAGAGCATTTTCGAAGATTACATGAACTTAGACCCATAATTTGAACTTGGTATGATACAAGTAACATCATAACAGGGTTAGAATCATATTACCCTTTGATTGCCCGAAGAAAATTGACAAGAAATTGGTGTTTGTTCGGACCCTTTCTCTTCCCTTGCGCGCGTACAGTAGATTGGATTAATAAATCTTAATCTTGTTTATTGTTTGCTTAAGGCATGCTTAGGAATTAGCTTAGTTTATAAGATGAAATATGTCCAAACTTTGGACTTTATAGGCGGTGAAATGGATGAAAATGCAAGATAAAATGCTCGGCCAATGGGCTCGTGCCATTTGCCGATCCCTAGGGCCACGAGGTGGACTTTTGGTGGCTTAGTCACCATTTATTTGGCACAAAAGGGCCACATGGCTAGGAAAGGATAAGTGCTCACGTGATTTGCCCCAAACTTCCGTCCACTTGTGCCCATTAAGCATTTAAGCATGCTTAGGGCTCGATTATGCGTGATTA